ATCCTTGCTGCTCACCAAGGCGAAGCAACTCGCCGCGGAGTACTGCGTGGAGGCCATGAAGCGGGGGATCAAGCCGAAAGTGCCGCAGTTGCGGGCGCGGTGGTGGACCAAGTGGCGGCGCTCTTACGGTCTGAGCATGAGGAAGCCGAATCGCACATACAAGATCCCCAAGTGGTTGCTCCAATCGCGCTTCGAGACAATGGTCCTGAACATAGCGCGGGTCCGCGCAGCCGCGGAGGAGCTTTTGGGGTGCGACCCGCACATCCTGAACTGGGACCAGTCGCCTTTTCACCACAACGAGTCCTCCTCAGCCTCGAAGCCGACTTTGGCTATGAAGGGGGGCATTGTTCCGCTCGTGGAGGCGCGCGACGACAGCAAGAGTCGGTGGGCCGCCAACCTGCGACGTGGAGGACATCCGCAGTTGCGGGCCTCCGCCCGCGGAGCTGATGTTCAAGGGGGGGGTGGGGGGGCTGTCGTCGCCGAGGACTTGGCCGCTCATGCCCGCAGTAGCGGCTTCCCGCAATGGGTGGGCGCGGCGACGTCTGAGAAGGGGTCCTACCGCACAGACGACGTCATATCGTTCCTGCGGCGGCACTTGCGGGCATGGCCCGGCGACCCGCAGTTGCGGGGGAAGGTGGGGATCCTCATGGCCGATGACCACGGCCCGCACAAAGCGGACGCTGTGCGGAGACTCAGCTGGCAGCGCGGCTACGTGTTGATCATTTATGGCGGAGGGGCGACCGCAGTTGCGCAGCCTGTGGACACGGACTTGAACCAGCGCGCGAAACGCTTGTCCATTGCCCTCGAAACCAAATCGTTGGTGCAGCAGATGGCGTTAGGGAAACACGTGCCGCAGTTGCGGCGTACCGAGTGCGCGGACTTGATGGTTTCTGTGCTCAGCAATCTGCAGTTGCACGTGAAACCTGCGCATGGTTTTCGGAAAGTCGGCATACGGGCACCTTTTGACAAGTCTGGCGATCTGGAGATTTGCCGAGAGGCGGCGCAGCTCTGGGAAGCAGGGGGCCTCCGAGCGAAAGTGGATGCCGCAGTCGCGGAGGTCAGGGAGGAATGCCGGAAGGGGCGCCTCAAGTGGTCATACAATGACGTGCAGCGGCTCATACACCAGTACGAGACGCATAGAGCCTCAGATGCCGTGTTGAACGTGCTCGGAGAGGAAGTGCTTGGCCTGAAGCCAGGCCACGAGGAGAGCGACGAGGAGGGCGAGGAGGCCGAGGGAGAGGAGGAGGGCGATGAGGAGGGCGACGAGGCCGACTGGGAGGAGGCAATGGCGGAGCATGGCTGGGACGATGATGGGTCTCGGGAAAATCAGGCACCTATGGACTGCGCGGTGGTGGGCGCCCATGCGGCTGAGCAGGTGGAAGTGGCGACGTCTCTGGCAGGCGCGCCTCGCGAGGTGGAAGGTATGCTGCGCAATGTGGGCATGGAGAAAATGGCACAACAATGCCGTGCATAACAACACAAGCAGAAGAAGCGGCTGCGAGAGCTGGCGCGGGAGGACGACGACCTCCCACGAGCGTTGATTGCCCAGCGAGACCACGGCGCCGCAGTTGCGGCGAAACAGAGGCGCTCGGCAACAGAAGCGAACGACAGGACGAAGACCCTCCACGACATCAAGAAACATATTCGGGAGGCCGAAGTTATTCTGAGGGAGAAGAAGGAGGCCGCAGTTGCGGTGGAGGCGGCCCTGGCTAACAAGCACGCCCTGGCCCAGTGGAACCCAGAGGAGTTTAAGGTCAGGAAAAAAAGGATGGCTGCTTTGGACCGCTTGGCTCGCGGAAAGGGCGTCCTCTCGGATGAACAGAGGGGGGGGGGGGTGGTTCAAAACGAACTGGGACGAACAGATGTGCAAGGAGCATAAAGAGCAATGGCCATTGACGTTTGCTGGGTGGCTGCAGCGAGTCGCCAACGACGCGGCCTCTGGGAATCGCTCGGCGCTGTCGCAGTTCGTGCACTCGGAGACTGCGAGGACCCTGGGCGGGCAAATGGCCCTGGTGATGCCTGCCATAGCCCCTGCAAGCCGCAGTTGCGGACCTGGGGGGAAACCATCATGAGTCAAAATGAATGCAAAAACCGCAGTTGCGGACTCTCGACAGGTCTTGTCGCTGCGCGCCCTGCGGACGGGCGGCCCCAAGGGCGTCTCAATGTGTGTGGTGATGCGACAAAATGGTTTCCTCGCCCTCCTCCTGCCACTCCCCCGCCCCCCTTGTCTCCTCGTGCCATCCGGCTCCAACGTGTCCTCCTCTCCTCCCATCTCCTGCCATCTAATCCCATTCTCCTTCTGGGCGCGTCGGTGGCCACCGAGGCTCGACGCGGCGCCCGCGCAGCCGCCCGCGGCGACCATGCGGGCGCCTGCGCGTCCGGGATTGGCGTTGCAGGCGGCGCCGCGCAGAGCTCGCTTCGCTGACACCTGTGCACATCCACGTGGAGGATAGCGAAGCCGCAGTTGCGGCAGCTGGCGAGGAAACCGCAGTTGCGGAAGATGGCGACGACCAAAGGACGCAAGATGGCGACAGTGCCTTTCGCGTCCTCGGCTGCCTCCGCCGACGAGGCGGAGCCACAAGGAGATTCGGAAGCCGCAGTTGCGGCAACCAGCGAGCCCTACATGCCGAAAGTGCTGTCGAAGAGGTGGGCCTGGAGGCGGGTGCGCGTCATCGAGACGAGTCGCGTGTCTGAGAAGGAGAGATCTGTTTACGAGGCTTGGCAGAAGAAAACGCAAGGCGAAGCGGGGCGCATCGGCTTCTACGCGGCCAACTTCGGACAGAGCGCTGGGAAGCCCGCACGACGCAGAGACGAGTTCGCGCAGATCCACGCCAATCCTGCCCAAATGATCGCCCTGTGCGAGTGCGACGACGACTGCTGCAGGGCAATCTCTGGGGAGGGCGACGCACGCGAGAGCACAACCGCAGTTGCGGGCGAGAAGTTCATGAATCGACCCCGATACAACCACTTGTGCGTCAAGGGCGGGGAGCCTTCGGGGACCCTCCTCATCGGCCCCAGAGACCGCAGTGGCGGCCAAATAGATCACGTGGACTTTACAAGGCTTGCCCACAAGAAGGAGAAGTCGAAGCCGAAGAAGAAATCCGCAGTTGCGGAGGTGGCTGCGCCAAAATGGCACAACAAGTACTCGAGGGCGATGGTTGCGCGCATCGCCCTGGACGAAGCGTTGCCCCATTTGGGGAAAGCCTTCAACGCCATGGCGGTGCACGTCCACCACAGTTTGGCCAACCAAGACTGGGGCCCGAAGAAACTCCAGGAATTCTACGAGCGGTTCGCCGAGTACGTCGCGAAGTGGGACGTCAAAGTCTGCATGGGGGACTTCAACATGCGCATGTTCCAGCTCGTGTCCTGGCGCCGCAGTCGCGGAGTCACGGTGGACGTCGCTGCGTGGACCCCCTGGAAGACAGCAGGCGGCCAGCCCAGGGCAGACAGTGTGGCAATTATGTTCATCAGTTGCCCTGGGAGATGCGAGCTTCGGCATGGCCTGGACGCCCTGCACGACGGCCCTGGCGGTTCTCGACAAACTCCCCCGGCGCCTCTTTCCACGCCTTCGATTGCACGAATGGCCCTGGGAAGATGCTGCAGACTTACTTGCCGAAGGCTGGGGCCGTCGCAGACAAGTTTCGCGACTTCGTGATGCCACCTAACGCCTCCGAGGCCGCAGTTGCGGATTTCGAATAAAAGATGGCGCGCCGTGCACGGGGCGAGTGGGCGCCCAGCCCCTTCCGAGTCAGGCAGGGCAAGCTGGGCGACGCGATCTGGAACGGCTCCGTCGGCGAGGCGCGAAACGGATCGCACTTCCCCCTGGTGGCTTTCACCCGCAACACGGGTCGCAGGTCACCAGAGAAGCTTGCTGAGAGGAATGAAGAAGGAAAATAAGCGGGAGCAAGAGAAAGGCGCTTGCAAGGGCGGCCAGAAGGGCAGCAACAACGGAGGCGACTCAGACACCGCAGTTGCGGGAAAGGGCGCTGAGCCGCCGCTGGTATCTCACCACCCGGCTTAGGGGTTTGAGCCTCTAGGTCGTGTCCCGGCCCCCCTCTTATGCCGCAGTTGCGGCTGGGTCCTCTGGCGCCAGCGGAAGCGGCGCGTGGAGGGCGGAGGATCCCGCGAGGGAGTGGAGGGCGGGACGGCGCGCTGATGAGTGGTCGAGCTGGGCAGGATGGCGCGCTGATGAGCAGAAGTGGTGGGATGATAATCGAGCCGCAGTTGCGGACAATGCCACGGAGGGTTCACCTCCTAATCGCATGTGGGCGGGCATGCCCGACCAGACGCAGAACGCGGGCCACGCGGGGCCGTGGAACGACCGCGCACCCTGGACCTACGAAACGACACGTTGGTAATGGCCGCAGTTGCGGGCAAGTGCAGCAGAAGGTTTGCGGCCGCAGTTGCGGGCAAGTGCAGCAGAAGGTTTGCGGCCGCAGTTGCGGACAGCGCTTCGTCGAGACAAGTTGGCAAATCATCATTGACGTCATCGCCATCTTCCTCATCGATCGCCATCACCATCATCATCCTGCAGCTGCTGCCCCTCATGTCGCCTTGCGAGGTAAGCGTTCAAAGCAGTCCCAGGGGGCTGCTTTGAAGACTGCCAAGCAGTCCCAGGGGACTGCTTTGAAACGACCTCTCGTCCTCATTATAAGGGCTTCTGGATTAGGGAAAGGGGGGGGTACGAAATCTGCTGCATGCGGCTGGCTTCGGCTCCACCGAGGGGCCCATTCCTCGATGCATGTTCGCCTCCCGGCGCCGGGGGGCGCTGGGAAAATCAGCTACGTGAGCTGATTCTCAAACCCCCCTTAGCGATCCCCCCCTTTCGCCCAGCCCGAACTGCGCCTCTGCCGCCCGCGCCGCCGCCGAGCGCCAGCCCCCCCCCTCCCCGGGGGAACCGCCATGGCGGTGCCGACGCAGCCCGATGCGACGCACCTCTCGAATCGATCCGATCTCCCGACTCGATGCCCACTGCGCCTCTGCCGCACGCGCCGCCGCCGAGCGCCAGCCCCCCCCTTTGGGAGCCGCCATGGCGGTGCCGTGCATCAGCCTGGCGCCATGCCTCGAGGCGGGGCCCCGCGGCGGGGAGCCGCGGGACCTCGCCGGCTTGGCCGCAGCCGTGCGCGCCGCTTGCGAGGAGGTCGCCCCGATGCACAATGTCGACAGAAACTTGCGCACACAGGCAGGGATAAGATCGGAAGTGGAGGGGGAGACAACAATCCGGAAAATCGAAACAAATATGGGGAATCCTTTTATTTGTGTATTTACTTGTGTGTCCCAGGGCCACCTCCCCCGATCCATGGATTTGGCGACCGCGCACCGAGGCCATGGATCGCACCGAGGCCAGTGAGTCATTCGGAAGGTGCAGTTGCAGAGCATGGGGGGGGAGATGGGGGGGGGGCGAGGAGGCGGAGGAGGAAAAGGTGTGGGTGGGGGCGGGGAGAGCTCGCCCCAGCGTGCCTCTGCTCTTCGCCTCGGCTCTGCTGTTTCGTGCCAGCTCCGCAGCCTGGGGCCCCATGGTGGTCGCGTCGGGCCAACGGGGGGATTCCGAAGGGGCGGGGGGGGTGCGATCTTAGTGGGCCCTGGACACGACAGGGCCGTTTTTGTTACCCGTTCCGTTTTGCCGTTTTTGTTGCCAGTTCCGACGCCGTTGTCGTATGTGTTCCGTCGCCGTTCTTGTTACGGGTTCCCGCTCCGGTTCCAAGCCTGGAACCGTTTTTGTTGCCGTTTCCGGTCGCTGTTGTTGTTCCGTTTCCAGTTTCAAGGGACATTTTTTCGGAAACGGTGAAAAAACGGCTCTGCTGTTTCGGGGGCCCACTAAGTGCATGAGTGCGGTCGAAGTTCACCGAGCGCGTTCCGCTACTCGCAGAGAGCCTACTTTGGGTCTCTTCATAAGCATGGGGGGGTACCCTCCCGACGGGGGTCGACCTCGCCTCGTCTCCGCGCGGTGGCTGCCCGCGACGGGGTTCGACGTGGGGCTGTCGGCGGGGGTGACGCCACCCCGACGCTTAGTGAGAAACTCGGAGCAATCGCACGCGTCCGCAAAGCAAGATCTGTCCTCCTAGATCTCGTGGGTCGTAAATCCCCCACGGCGGATCCCAGCCACTTGCGAGCCGTTACTGTGCGAGTAGCGGGGCGCGCTTGTCCAGAAGTGGGTCCGCGGACGACCTGTGTGTGCCGTACTGCCCTGGCGTCCCCCGATTCGTCGTCGATCCTCGACCCTGGAGTGGTGCGGTGCATCGTTTCTCGGCCCTCCGATTGGAAAAAGTATGCGCGGTGCGGCGTTGGAGCGGGGCACTGCGGGGGTCGCAATACGGCGTGGTGAAAGTTGCTTGCCTCTTGCTGTGCCTTAAGGCCGGTTCGGGCCCCGGGAGGACCGTGAAAGACAGATCTGCGGTGAAGCATAGCACCAGATGGACCCCAGGAGAGGTCCAGGGACAGATTTTGAGCGGACTTGCCCTCATCCCCCCGTCTTGGCATATTTTCTCGGGGCCCATCTGGTGCAGAGCCCCCGGCCGCTTCCAATAGTAGTCCCGGCTCATTCTGAACAAGATTCTTTGTCGACGCCGCCGCGGACGCTGTCCCCAGTTGAGACAGGAGGCCGCCTGCCCCACTGCGGCCGCAGTCGGTTTTGGACGGCATTTGTTGTTGATGGGCCTGGGTTCCACCACCACCACCATAAGTTGGAGGGGGGAAGGAGGAGGAGGCGGACCAGGAGGAGGAGGAGGAGGACCACCTCCCCCTCCAACTTATGGTTGTGGTGGTGGACGACAGGCCCCTCGTGTTGCTGGGCACCGTACCCATGCTTTCGGCATCCATTGCGGGGCGGTTTTGGTCCTCCTCCTCCTCCTCCTCCTCGCGCCTCCTTGGAGGGTGTTCCGAGGCTCTCGGAGCTCTTCGGAGGCGGGCCCGAGTTCTCGGAGGCGTTGCCAAAAGTCTCCGTGATCTTTCCAGAGCAGGTGCCGTGCCCCCGCCGCGTGTGGCGCCGTCCGAGGACTGCTCCTCGTGGGTCCTGTCGGGTCCTCCTGCTTTCTTAGGCAGGCTGCGAGGCGACGAGCAAGTCCTCCTTCTCCTCCACAGTTACTCCGGATTCCATAATAAAGTGGGGGGGGTCACATTTGGGGGGGGTCTGATTTGAGCTGACTCGGAGGGTTCAGAGGGGTCTGGGCGAAGGGCCGCCCTTTCATGGATTTTCTGGAGGGGTCTAAAACTTTTCGTCTGGGAGGGTTGTGACCCCCTCCCTTTTATCAAGAAATCTGAAGCACTCCATATGAGTGCTACTCTCCTCTCTCCCCTGATGACGTCAGGAAGACATCCTGCCCCCCTCCGCGTATTGTTCCCAACCATCCTGTGGTGTTGGGTCCTCGTTTTGAAGAGACGGTGGCCCGTGTCTCCTCTCCTCCTCTCCTCCTCCCCCTCCTCCTTGCGTTTCACCCACCCAGCACAGCGTTTCGTAGCCCCATAGGGAGCTCCACCGAAGGCCCCAGTGGCATGGTTCGCATGGCGGCCTCGGGCCATTTCGGCACACCCCTCACAAGGATCGTGGCCCCATAGGGAGCTCCACCGAAGGCTCCAGTGGCAGGGTTCGCATGGCGGCCTCGGGCCATTTCGGCACACCCCTCACGAGGATCGTGGCCCCATAGGGAGCTCCACCGAAGGCGCCAGTGGCAGGGTTCGCATGGCGGCCTCGGGCCATTTCGGCACACCCCTCACGACGATCGTGGACCCATAGGGAGCTCCACCGAAGGCGCCAGTGGCAGGGTTCGCATGGCGGCCTCGGGCCATTTCGGCACACCCCTCACGAGGATCGTGGCCCCATAGGGAGCTCCACCGAAGGCCCAGTGGCAGGGTTCGCATGGCGGCCTCGGGCCATTTCGGCACACCCCTCACGACGATCGTGGACCCGAGCTCCACCGAAGGCGCCAGTGGCATCGCATGGCGGCCCGGGCCATTTCGGCACATCCCTCACGAGGATCGTGGCCCCATAGGGAGCTCCACCGCCCCCAGTGGCAGGGTTCGCATGGCGGCCTCGGGCCATTTCGGCACACCCCTCACGAGGATCGTGGCCCCATAGGGAGCTCCACCGAAGGCCCCCAGTGGCAGGGTTCGCATGGCGGCCTCGGGCCATTTCGGCACACCCCTCACGAGGATCGTGGCCCCATAGGGAGCTCCACCGAAGGCCCCAGTGGCAGGGTTCGCATGGCGGCCTCGGGCCATTTCGGCACACCCCTCACGAGGATCGTGAGCCGCCAGTGGCAGGGGCATGGCGGCCTCGGGCCATTTCGGCACACCCCTCACGAGGATCGTGGCCCCATAGGGAGCTCCACCGAAGGCGCCAGTGGCAGGGTTCGCATGGCGGCCTCGGGCCATTTCGGCACACCCCTCACGAGGACCGTGGCCCCACTGGAGCTCCACCGAAGGCGCCAGTGGCAGGGTTCGCATGGCGGCCCCGGGCTATTTCGGCACACCCCTCACAAGGATCGTGGCCCCATAGTTGTGCTTCTTCAACAACCGCGCCTAGGCGTCGTACTCCGCCTTGTCGACGTGCAACGCCACCTCCTCCCTCATGGCTCTCAAGGCCCTTTCCTGTTTCTGCTCCTCGGTGAGAGGGACGCCGTCCTTGTCGTCGTCGGCGCCCGCAAAGAAGGCCACGAGCGTGTCCCTGAGCATGTCGGGCTCCGGCGGGAAGCCGTGGCCACATAGGGAGCGCGGGCGAAGATGGTATTCACAATTGCGGTATTCACAACTGCATATGGTTGGGTCCTTCGCCAGGATAATTTTTTACATGATTCCCGGGACGTGTTTTTTCGCTTGGGTTTTGTTCCCAACCATCCTGTCGTGTTGGGTCCTTTTTTTGAAGAAGAGACGGTGCCCCGCGTCCCTCTCCTCCTGTCCTCCCTCCTCCTTGCATTTCACCCACCCAGTAGAGCTTTTCGTGGCCCCATAGGGAGCTCCACCGAAGGCGCCAGTGGCAGGCTTCGCATGGCGGCCTCGGGCCATTTCGGCACACCCCTCACGAGGATCGTGGCCCCATAGGGAGCTCCACCGAAGGCGCCAGTGGCAGGGTTCGCATGGCGGCCTCGGGCCATTTCGGCACACCCCTCACGAGGACCGTGGCCCCATAGCGAGCTCCACCGAGGCCCCCAGTGGCAGGGTTCGCATGGCGGCCTCGGGCCATTTCGGCACACCCCTCACGAGGATCGTGGCCCCATAGGGAGCTCCACCGAAGGCGCCAGTGGCAGGCATCGCATGGCGGCCTCGGGCCATTTTGGCTCACCCCTCTCGAGGACCGTGGCCCCATAGGGACCGAATGCCCCAGTGGCTGGGTTCGCATGGCGGCCTCGGGCCATTTCGGCACACCCCTCACGAGGACCGTGGCCCCATAGGGAGCTCCACCGAAGGCGCCAGTGGCAGGGTTCGCATGGCGGCCTCGGACCTTTTCGGCACACCCCTCACGAGGACCGTGGCCCCATAGGTCCAGCGAAGGTGCCAGTGGCAAGGCTCGCGTGGCCGCATCGGGCCATTTCGGCACACCCCTCACGAGGATCGTGGCCCCATAGGGGGCTCCACCGAAGGCGCCAGCGGCAGGGTTCGCATGGCTGCCCCGGGCCATTGCGGCACACCCCTCACGAGGACCGTGGCCCCATGGTTGTGGTGCTTCAACAACCGCGCCTGGGCGTCTTACTCCACCTTGTCGACGTGCAACGCCACCTCCTCCCTCATGTGTCTCAAAACCTTCTCCTGCTTCTGTTCCTCGGTCAGAGGGACGCCGTCCTTGTCGTCGTCGGCGCCCGCGACGACGGCCACGAACGTTCCTGAGAAAGTCGGGTTTTGGCGGGAAGCCGTGGCCACATAGGGAACCTGGGCGAAGATGGTATTCACAATTGCGGTATTCACAACTGCAAATGGTTGGGTCCTTCGCCAGGCTAAGTTTGAACATGTTGCTCCCGCTGAAGCGCTGGCCCCATTTATGCGCCCGCGGTTGTTCCAAATCGTGTTCCCGCTGCAGCGCGGGCGTTGTCGGTCTTTCCAGATAGGCCCCAAAATATAAAAGATGCCCTCCCGACGAAAACCATCGGAAGTGATTCCACAGTCGGTGTCGATTCGTTGATTTCTTGTGCCGCAGAAGACACCCCCACTTTAGTGCGTCGTCGCTTTCGGGAAGTATCAAGCGGGAGCCCCGTTTCTGTATTGACAAGGCGATATCGGAAGCAGAGCCAGCGGGTGTCATCCATCAGCCCCTCTTGTTTGGAGTTGTTTTTTTGGGGGGGCAGGAGCTAGACATCGAGCCACGGCCCCCGAACGGCCCAGACCTCTCGAAGACGATCCACTTGCCCTCCAAGGAATTCGGCGCCATGACATGGCATGCCGTGCGGTGCTGCGTTGTGCGCCGCTGTGCGATGCCACGCTTTGCCCATCAATCCGTTGTGAACGCTTCACTGTGCAATGCCACGCCATGCTAGGGAATGCTACTTTCTGCCGTGTTCATCTATGCCATGCCATGCCGTGTTGCACCATGCATCGCGCACCCTCTCGCGATCATCGCCCTGCTCGACATCCGACTGCGCGATAGAAAGGATATCAACGGTAAGGGATGGGAGGGAGGTTAGGACGTCAGATATGGCGCAAGCGAACCTAGCTTGCCATCGTCATCCTCGTTTTCCTTCTCCTCCTCCTCATCCTCCTCCTCCTCCTCCTCCTCCTCCCCCTCCTCCTCCTCGTTGGGGTGGTGACCTCCGCGGGGACCTCCAGGGACCTTAGAGATCCGATGTGCTGAGTTTTTGCTCCACGCGGTGGCCCATGATGCCCCGACCGTTTTCGGCCTCCAGGGGCCTTCGCCTGGCCTCGGGACTATCAGATAGCGACTCAGGACCAAACGCGAGCCCCAGGGAAGTGGTCCAGAGTCCAGACCTCCAGGGCCCACGCATCGGGAATATCGGAGCACCCCGAGTCGCTTGTTGACGGTCCCGTGGCCCAGCGAAGGCCCCCAGAGGCCGAAAGCGACGAAGAGCCTCCGCGTTGGAGTCTTCAAATACGTGGGAGGTCTGGTCCCTCCTCCTCCCCTTCTTTCGGCCTCCTGGAGTTTCGGGGGTTCCCCGGTATAGCATCCCCAGGCATCCGCCGATTTGGTTTTTGCTGTGTGCGGCCCCAGAGAGGTCCCAACCGACTCGCTTGGAGACAGTTTTTCGCCCAAGGTCTCTTCCTGATGGTTCCGGGACCCGACAATGGCCGAAATCAGGGAATCAAGAAAAGCTCCCGAGATATGGCGTCGCAGAAGTAATTACATCATCGTGACGCATCACGACCGCACCCCATCTTGCCACGGCATTTCCCGAGCCGGATCAATATTTGCTGGCCCTGGGGCCCGAAACGGAGCGAAAGCGCCCGGCGTGGAGAGCTACGACGCCCGCTATTCGGCGTCTTCTATATCCTCCTGGGGGTTCGGAGAGGCAGCCCGACTGGAATCGGCAGGTCGGCTTCTTCGTGGTGGTCGACCACGGCGTGGACGCCGCCCTGCTGGAGCGCCAGCGGCGGGAATGCGCCGCCTTCTTCGCGCGGCCGCCGCAGTCGCTGGTCCTCGGCATGGTCCCTGGGGGCTCCAGCCGCTTCGCCTGGCTGTCGGGATGGCCCCCAACTGCGCGGTGGCCACACCGCGTGGGGAGTCGGACGCCTTCGTGGGCTCCCGGGGGCTTTCCTGCCGCGGGCTGCGCTCCGGCAGCGGTGCCTCACCGAGAGCGTTCCAGGGCTGTCTAGATCGTCCCAGACGGCCACTGGAGACCTCAGACCAAAGCACAGTCGAGGTCAATGAATTGGTGGGCCGACCTTGCCAAATCAAGGCCTTGCGTTTTGCCTTCCATATTTCGCGACCCACGCTTGGAAGGGTCTTGTGTTTTGTGCCTTATCGTGGGCACCCTCCAATCATCAAAGGAAAAGAACACCCCGACCCCGACAGGGCCCTGGGCCTTCACAAAGCAGCCCTGCCCTGTTCGATTCCTTCCTTGGGTGCGCCTGCGAAACGGCTTCGCCCGTCAGGGTGCTCATTCAACATGGGGGTGGATGTTCCGCCCTCCTCCTGCTCCTCGTCCTGCTCCTCCTCCTCCTCCTGCTCCTCCTCCTCCTCCTCCTGCCTCCTCCCTCCTCCCTCCACCCCAAGGCTGGACTACGTCCCCGACGCCAGTGTCGAGAGCGGCGGCGGCGATCGATCGGGCTTTGAGAAGAAGCAGTTACCCAATGACTCGCCCAATCCGGGCATCTTCCTGCGATTTCGGCCATAGGGGGGCCGTCGTCGAACGGGGCTACGAGGATAGATCGATTCCAGAGCGATCCGGAACGTTCTAGGCCGCGGCGCCCGAGACATCTTCCAGAGCCGCCAGATCTCAGAGATTCTCTAGTTGTCCTCCCCCGATGTCATCTTCGTCCTGGCTTCGTCTTACGCCGCTTATAGAGCGAAAATGCCGCAGCAAGATGAGGCCTAGGGCATGGGGTTCTGGTTGCGATGTTTCACGAGGTTGCAGTTGTTTCGCGACGTCGGATCAGAGGAGCACGGAAGTGTCTCGTGATCCCTTGATTCAGGCCCTCGGAGGCCGTGGCCAGGATTATCCACAGATAGATCTGGGTCGAGAAGTTGGGGCCAGACGGCTTTTTTCTGACATGCCGGCGTCGGGAGCCCGTGGGCGTGTTGCGCAGCTGCTGTTTTCCGAAGGCCCGGTGTCCCCCCTCAGCAGTAAAACGCGCCGGTGGGCTGCCCGCGGCGGCGCGTCACTGATCCTGTCTGCTCAGGAGGGGGAAAAACACAGACACAATTAATCGTCGATTCCCAGGAAAATATGGAAACATATGGGAAGTGGGGGGGAAGACAAACACCCCAAAAAGATTGGGAATCCAGTTATTTGTTTGTATTTATTTGTGTGTCCCAGGGCCCCTTCAATCCCGTCCGTGTACTCCAGCATCCCAAGCTCGTGGGCGACGACTGGGGCGAATGGCGCGGGGGGGGCAGAATGTGCATTCAGGGGAGCCGATGGCCCGTGTTTTTGAGGAGGCTCCCCAGCGGGTGCGTCCCTTGGGCGCTACTTGCCCCTTCTTGATCGCTTCCGAGGAGAGCCCAGGCCGCCCCAACGGGGCTGGAGCAGACGGGGTCGGAGTCTGTCGCGTCGCACTGCCGATGCATCGGCGAAGCATCGGCGATGCGGCTTGATTCGGAGTCCGATCTGTGCAATCCCGACTGCGCTTTTAAGTCGGGCACGTCCCTCTACAGGAGGAGTCCACAAAAATAGTCAACAAAATAGTCGTGGGACGATTTATGTATTCTTCTTGTATTGGGGGGTATTTTTGACAACCATCCTGTGGTGTTGGGTCCTCGTTTTGAAATAACGGTCCCCGCGTTCTCCTCTTCTTCCCTTCTCCTCCTCCTCTTTTTCCCCTTCCTTCCCCTCCTCCCTCCTCCCTGCGCTTCACCCACCCAGTACAGCGTTTCGTGGCCCCACAGGAAGCCCCACCGAAGGTCCCAGTGCTACCGTCCGCATGCGTCCCGCACACCCAGTACAGCGTTTCGTGGCCCCCTCCTCACTCCTCCCTGCGTTTCACCCACCCAGTACAACGCTGCGTGGCCCCTTTGGGAGCTCCACAGAAGGACCGCCCACATGCGTCGCGAAAACCGAATTTTGCATTTTCACCCACCCAGTACAGCGGTTCGTGGCCCCATAGGGAGCTTCACCGAATCCCCCAGTGGGACCGCCCGCCTGAGTCCCACACCAAATTTGGCGTTTTCACCCACCCAGTACAGCGCGCTGTGGTCCCATACGGAGCTCCACCGAAGCCCCCAGTGGGATCGCCCGCATACGTCCCACACACCGAATTTGGCATTTTCACATACCCAGTACAGCGCTTCGTAGCCCCATAGGGAGCTCCACCGAAGCCCCGTCCGCATGTGTCTCGAAAATCAAACCCTGTACAGCGTTTTGTGGCCCCATAGGGAGCTCCACCGAAGCCCCCGGTTGGACCGTCCGCATGCGTCCCGAAAAACCAAGTTGGCTTGTTTTCACCCACCCTGTACAGCGCTTCGTGGCCCCATAGGGAGCTCCACCGAAGCCCTCAGTGGGACCGCCCGCATGCGTCTCCCACACGCACACACATTCACACACACATATATCAATTTTGGCGTTTTCACCCACCCAGTACAGCGGTTCGTGGCCCCATAGGGAGCTCCACCGACGGCCCCAGTGCTACCGCCCGCATGCGTCCCCCCCCCACCCAGTACAGCGCTTCGTGGCCCCCTAGGGAGCTTCACCGAAGAAGATATTCACAATTGCGGTACCCACAACTGCATATGGTTGGGTCCTTCGCCAGGATATTTGTGCTATTTGTCGTTTTCCTAAAATAATCCGCCTGTAGGAGGACATGCCCGACCTAAGGCTATGCCGATGCATCAACGATGCGGCACGATTCTCTGACCCCGTCTACTCGGGCCCCACTTGGGGCTGCCCCCAAAGAGAAAGACGCATGAATACAAGCTTTCTGAACACCCCGCGGACTTTTCTCGGATCGGCGCTCCTCCCCACTTCCGGGGCGCCTTCGGCGCCGCCCCCAGCGCGCTGCGCGCGCCAGGAAGGGAGACTCGAGACCAGGTCCATCGCCGCCGGGCCCACTCCTCCATACAGTGCCGTTTTTAATACATGCTCCGCGTGCGGATCATGTATTAAAAATGCAGGGATTTAGTATTAAAAACAACGATGAGTTCATGCATACATTCATTCATAAATTAATCATGTATCACACATCCTATAGTTGTAAACATCCCATGTATTAAAAACTGCCCTGTACCTAGGCGCCTCCAGCAAGGCGCCGGGACAAGGGGCTGCGTGAACCGAGTAGCTACCCCCCTCTACTGACCCCCCTGCTTCGAGCGACCCGACCGGCGGGCCTCGGAAGGTGCTTGCCCATCGGTCGTGGAAGGCAGATGTTCTTGGAGCCCCAGCTTCCAATTTACTCTAAGCGCCTCTTCCGTCCTCTTTGGGGTCGGGCGGAGATTCAATCTACAGCCAAGAGGCTGAAATAAGGAACAGGTTGGATTCGGAAGGGGCTCGATGTTCCTTACGTTGTTCCGTGGTTGTTCCTCTAGCCCTTGTCGTACACCCATGCTTTTTTAAATCGGGGGCCCCCAAACGGGGTGGTGACCACACCGTGTGGTGAGTCGGTGGGGATTCGGGGTCACCGCACTGTTTTGGGACTCGAGTCCTTCTATGTCTCGGGCGACAGGGGCCTCCAGGGTCCCAAGACCGTGCGGTGACGGACCGTGCGGTGAGGTCTCTTGGGGTTCCGAGGTCACCGCACGGTCTGTCACCACACGGTTTTGGGATCCCCAGTTGAAGCCACAGAGGGGCTTTGTTCTTTATGTAGCGTTCCTCATTTCAGCAGCCCGACCGTACTCTCAACGCCTTCCTGCTTCGTGTCTCGACCTGCCTCTTCCGACCGATGGGTGTGCGCGTCCTGGCGGTTTGTCTCCCAGGCGAGGCGGCGGCGTGGTCCCTGGGCCCGGTGGCTGGCCGCGGCAGCCAGCCGTGGCGCCCAGACACGGCCTTCGGGGGCAGCAAAGAGGAGAATAGGACGGTCTGAACTGTAGTTAGTCGAGGCCTCCCAGATGGGGTCGGAGTAGACGGGGTCGGAGGATCGCGCCGCATCGCCGATGCATCACCAATGCGGCTCGATGTGGAGACCCTGTTTCCCCATACCGACGTTGCCGATGCGTCGCCGACGTCGCTGATGTATCGCCGGTGCATCGCCGATGCATCGCCGATCTGGCGCGCTCCTACAAACCCATCTATTCGGACCCCATCTAGGAGGCCTCTAAGTAGTGGGTCTGGTGCAGGTGGCTCGGCGGTGAGATGTGCAGTCGGTCATCTAGTTTTGCATTACTGTGCGCAGTAGTGCACAGCTATCGCGGAGGGGCACGGACGATTGCACTGGCAGCACCTGTTGGATGTGAACAAGCACTATGCACATGCACACACGCGCAACTATCGCATCCAGTAGTTGCCCATCTACTGCGAAGTACTATTGCAACTCTTCCCTCGGGCCCATTCGCGTCAGGCGCACTACTCAAGCTTAAAGATAAGTTAAGAGGGGAAAAACAACAACCCTCGATCGCCCATTCTTCGCCGACCAGTCGCCACCGCCCAGACATGGTCCTACGATGTCTGCATTGGCCACGCATGGGCGAAGCGCGCGCTGTCCGATGTTTGATGGTATAAGCTCAGCGGTGATCACCAGCTGGCCACATCATTTTGGCAACGATGTGCTACAAGATCTGTGTATTGCATGCTCGTGTGGGGCGTGCGCCCCCCCCCTACAGGAATGTATCGTACCAGCGCCGATCCAAGAAGTCCGCGCGGTCCCCCGAGCCATCAGGGCGCGCCTTTCTCGTTGTTTTCCCCTCATTGCAGGCGCACTCTCGTCGCACTCCTCACATCGACGCCGCCGCCGCCACGCTTCTGTGCCTGTCGCAGGGCTGGACCCAAATGGTGTTCATAGCGCTTTCGTGGGCCGTTTTCGTTTCGACTTCGTTTTTCGGTAAAGGCGGATTGAAGACAGACGCGAGGGAAAACGATTACAAAGCGAAAACGACGACAAACACCGTTTAGGTTCAGCCCTGGACCCCTCGCATCGACGCCGCTGCCGCCACCTTTTCTATGCCTGCCACAGCCGTGCCATGTGGCCAGGGAAAGCGAGCGCACTTCCCCCCGCGCGCGGAGTGGCGCGCGCGCGCGAGCCTCCGCCGCCGCGGCCCTGCGCTGCGCGCCCGCGCTCCCGGGGCCGGGCCCCGTGGTCGAGCCGCCCCCCCCCGACCCCGCCCGCCCTGCGCTCGCTCCCGCGGGGCGCAGTCAGCTTCGCGCGCGCTCCTCCTCCTCCTCCTCCTCCTCCACCTCCTCCACCTCCTCCTCCTCCTCCTCCTCCTCCCTCGCGCGCTTCGCGCGCGAGAAGGCCTTCGCAGAAGGCTCGGAAGTCCCCCAGCCTTCCGAGGAGTTTTCTCTGAGGCTTCCCCGAAGGCGCACAAGAACACTTCTCGGAACGCCGGAGCGCCTGCTGAGGAGTCCGCCCGCCTGCTGAGAGGGCCTCCTCCTCCTCACTTCCCCTTGGCATCGCTCGGACGTGTGCCTGTTTCCTTCGGCGAGGACCGTCGAGGCGCATCCCTTGATCATTCGGCAAAAAAAAAGCACGCGCGAAGCCGAACAAAAACACAGGGAATGGACGTCCGAGCGATGGCCAGGGCCCCGCGCGCGCTCCTGCAGGGCGCAGTCGGATTCGCGCGCGCTCCTCCGCTCCCTTCCCCACCCCCTTCCGCACAGTACAGCACAGAAGCCTTTGCGCCAGTCGGCGCGCGAGCAGGGTCTTGGCATGGCTCGGACGTGTGCACTTTTTCCTCGGCGAGGACCATCGAGGACCATCCTGGACCATCGAGCAAAAACAACACGCACGAAACAGAAAACTGCACGGGAAATGGACGTCCGAGCGATGGCGAGGGGTGGAGCCCGGCATGATGCAGCCGCTCCGCCACGAGCTCTCCCGTAGTCTCCCGCGCACGCGTTGCTCCGTCCTCTCGGCGAACGAATGAATGCAGCGAGCCGCGCGGGAGAGGCGGCTGCCAGCAGACAATCACGCACTACCATGTGTCCCCCGAGTTGCCATCATTTGTTAGCCCCGAGCGTGGTGCCGCGCCTGCGTCGGCAGGCAAGTGCCAGCATGCATGCGCTGGCACCTGCGGTGAGAGGGCGACGCCTGCACCTCATTGCTTGACGTGCCAGAGGTGCTTGCGCTTTACCATGGTCAGGAGGGGAAAAGACACAGACACAATTGATCGTCGATTTCCCAGAAAATATTGGAAATTATGGGAATTGGGGGGGAAGACAAAAACACAACAATAATGGGGAATGTGGAGAATCCTGTTATTTGTGTGTATTTATTTGTGTGTCCCAGGGCCCCTTCACGTGGGCGGTGCCTGCGCCGATGAAAAATATGCCCGCGGTGCGAACGCGACTGGCGCGATGGCGAGGAGATGCCTGCGGCCTCTCATTTGACGCGCCCGCGGTGCCTGCGCCCGGCCGCGCGCGCACGCCGCCCACGCGTGCGAATCGGTTGCCCCCGCGGTGTGAGCGCCGGCCTGTCGATGGCGACGCGACGCCTGCACGCGACGCCTTGCACCGCACATGAGCACGGTTTCACCCAATGTTTCACCAGAGTTCGCGGGAGCAGTCGGCAATACTGCACGCCCGCCTATGGATTATCAAGCGAATTACTCATCATATGAAGCACATGTTTTTCGAGGTGGGAGGCTCGCGGTGGCAAGGCCGAGCCTCCAATTGGGTACTTGGAACGTGGAGGGCCTCACAGAAGCGAAAATTGTGGAACTGCAGAACCACATGTTTGAATTGGACATCGACGTGTTATGTTTACAGGAGACACACAAACCTAAGTCGGACTACTTGGTCACAGATGAAGGGTACCTGCTGGTGCTTTCAGGTTCTCTGGATGATAGCGAGAGTGCCGGCGTTGGATTTTTGGTTTCGCCACGGGCTCGACGAAGTGTCGTCGGCTTCCGCCAAGCGACATCGAGAATGGCATCTCTCAAATTCCGGGTCAAAGGTGGCAAGATCGTGATTTGCAGCGCGTACGCCCCCCACAGCGGGAAACCGCCAGAAGACAGACAGCACTACTTTCAAGAGCTGTCGCAATTCATCGGGTCGCTGTCTTGCCATGGGCCGGTGTTCCTGTGTGGCGACCTTAACGCCCGGCTGCATTTCCAGAGGCCCGGCGAGGAGGCCATCATAGGAAGATATGTTTTCGGCAACCCTCATGCGCAGCACAATCCGGAGTCGAACAGGTCTCTGCTCGCAGAGCTCTGCTGCACAAGGGAGTTCGCAATTGCCAACACGTACTTTGATGAGCCAGCAGAGCGGCAGATCACTTGCTACGATATTGGGTCGTCCCCAGCAAGCCCTACAACACACAACCACTTCGGCCAGATAGACTTCATTGCTGTTTCCTCTTCGTGGCTAGGTTCGGTGCGCAGGGTGTGGAGCGACAAGTCCCGAGCACTTGCTTCCCATCATTTTCTTGTCAGGGCGTCTCTCACGATGGAGGTTCCGAAGACGGAGCCCCGCGAGGGCCGCAAGAGAAAAGATGTCGCTGCTCTCCGGGAGCCGGACGTGGAGCACACCTTCGCGGGAGCGTTCTGCGCTCACATGGGGCCCATAGTTGGGTGTCCCGAGAGTGCGCAAGAATTGAACGAGAAGATGGTCGGTTCTCTGCGCGCAGCAGCTGACGAGACTCTCCCGGAGGCTCCACTGCGCCCGAAGAAGCCGTGGATCTCGGGAGGCACGCTGGAGCTCCTGCGCCAGCGCAACCTGGCACGTTCGAGTTGCGACGTGGAGAAAGAGAGAGACCTGCACAGATCGCTACGTGCATCCGTGAAACAGGACCGGTCGAAGTGGCTAGAAGAACAACTCGCGACGGGGGACTGGTCGCAGGTGCGGAGGCTCCGAAAAGGCGTCGCCCCGAAGCAGGGCCGTCTCCGAAACGCGGCCGGGGAGCTCGTGGACTCCGACTGTCGAGCGGACACGTTGGCGGAATATCTCAGCCAAGTCCAGTGGGCCGTGAGGCCGACTGACGCAGCTGTGGCCGACGATGCCCTCGGCGCCGAGCTCCCTGTTTCGTGTGCGCCCGTGTCGGAGGAGGAGGTCGTCCGGGCGGCTTCCAGATTGCGGCTGGGCAGAGCTGCTGGTAAGGACGAGATCCCGGGTGAGTTCTGGAGAGCAATATGCAGGCCTGGATCCGAAGCTTGCCAATGGGCGACTGCACTCTGCAACAAGTGTTGGTCTGGCCATGTCGTTCCAGATGGCTGGCACGAGGCGGTCGTGAGCGCCATCTTCAAAAAAGGAGACGTTTCGCAGTGTGAGAATTACACTCGGATATCATTGGTTTCTGTGGGATACAAATTATTTGCTGCAGTTCTTCTCAACAGACTCAAGATCGGAGGCGCAGAACAGAGGGCATGGAGTGCCCAGTTTGGGTTCAAAAGCAAGCACGGCACAGCGGATGCGATTTTCTTGGTCAGGCGCCTGACGGAAAAGACGTGGGCAGAAAAAGACGGGCGTCTGGTGCTCCTTGCCCTTGACTGGGCGAAGGCATTCGATAGCGTCTCGCCGGATGCACTGTGCCGGGCCCTGCAGAGATTCGGCATCCCGTCGGATTTCATCAGCGTTGTGCGAGCGATCTACACGGACCGGACGTTCGAAGTCCGAGACGCGGGATCGGTGTCCAACGCTTGCCCGCAGAACTTCGGAATCAGCCAGGGGTGCCCTTTATCGCCGCTTCTGTTTGCTATTGTCATGGCGGTTCTGCTCCACGACGCGAAGCGGGAGGCGACGCCCAACCTGGGCATGATGCAGCAGGTGCACGAGCTGGCGCACGCAGACGACACGCTGCTCGTGGCCACCACGGGCGAGGAGGCCTCCGAGTACATGCACTGCGTGCAGCGAGCTGGACAGCAATATGGTCTCCATTTCAATTGGCGAAAATTG